GGCAAAAACTGTATATTAAAGAGGGTTGGCTGAGAGAGTTAAATCAAACAATAAGGAATTCTTTAGGTATATGATGGCTAAGCAAAATGTTAGAATAGGGATCGAGCCTCTTAAAAATGACAGTGTGGAGCTGATCTCGGAAGATTATGAGATGGTAAACTTATTAAATTATATATGTTTTCTTCAGTTTTTACGAAGGAAGATACAAGTATTTCAACCAGAGCACTTAATGTATAGGAAAAATATTGATGTAAAAGATATCATTTTAAGTTCTGAAATTGTAAGAGAAAAGTTGGGAAACCTAAAAATTGATAAATCCCCTGGACCAGACAACTTTAATCCTAGAGTTTTAAAGGAACTTAAAGACTTTATTTGTGATCCAATAGGTCATATTTTTTTTATAGGTCATTGAGTAGTGGAAAAGATTGGAAGTTGGCTATTGTTAGTCCAATATTTCAAGGAGATGATAAACATTGTCCAGGCAATAATAGGCCAGTTAATCTTAAATCAGTAGTTGGAAATATTTTGGAAAGTGTGATTAATGATGCATTGCAGAGTCACTTAAAGCAGTTTGATATAGTGTCAAAAAGCTAGCATGATTTTACTAAGGGAAAGTCTTGTTTAACAAATATTCTAACATTCTTTGAGGATGTTACTGCAAGAGTTGATGAAGGAAATACTGTGGATTTGGTTTACCTTGATTTTCAGAAAGCATTTGATAAGGTGCCTCACAAAAGACTTGTTACAAAAATTAAATCTGTGGTTGTGGGGGAAGTGTTATTAAACTGGATAGAAAATTGGCTGGAGAGTAGAAAGCAGAGAATAGTAATAAATGGAGTTAGATCTGACTGGATCATAGTTACAAGCGGTGTGCCTCAGGGCTCTTTGCCGGGTCCTCTGCTGTTTGTGATCTATATTTATGATATTGACTCTGGAATACTGATGACTGACAAAACTTTGAAGTTTGCAGATGATATTAAGATTTTTGGGATGGCTAACTGTATCAAAGATGCTGCAGACTTACAGGGAAATTTAGATCATTTGATGCATTGGGCCAATACGTGGCAGTTAATGTTTAACTATCCAAAATGTAAGGTGATGTATGTAGGTTTTCTCTATTCAAATTATTTTTACAATTTAAATGGGAATACATTAAATACTGAAGAAAAAGATCTTAGTGTTGTGATAAAAAAAAAATCACTTAAGTAATCTAAACAA